AGAAATAAAGTGGGAAGGCAGGTGCTCTCCCCTGGCACTGGGTCTCTTGGTGGGCATGTGTTCATGTATCACTTCACGCAGCAGAGGAGTAGTGGAAAAGTTGTTTTCATGCTAGCCTGAAGCAGAGGGAAGGACAGATTGGGACGGGAGCTTTGTCACCATCACCTGATTGTGGCCTCCTTTCGTTAACATTTTGTAGCCTGGCACTAGCAGTGGCAAACGTTCAAAACTAGCACGAGGTTGACCCAGTTCTGAGTATCAGCAGATCCTGGAGACATATGCACATGCGTCCCAGTCCAATCCCAACCACTTGGTGAGCCCCACTGTCTATTTGGAGAGAGGGGTGCAGGAGGAGTGAGGAGGGACCAGCACTGAAAGGGCACCTTCTGGCTGCCAGGCGGTGCACCCACGATTTGCTTCCTAACTTTATGCCTCAAGCAATTTTGTGTGTCCTTTCTCTGCTGACGCAGTGGAAGCTACGGAGTGTAAAAACGATGAACCCAAAGTGACACAGTTAGGACTTGGCAGTGGTGGGATTTGAATTCAGAGAAGTCACACTTAAACCCTGCACTGTTTCTTTCATACTCTGCTCATGCCCTAAATTCAAAGGGATGTTCAGGCTCTCAAGAGTATGTTGGTGGAATTTTTGATATGCCCCCAAAATAGAAGAGTGTCCTTTCCAGTAAATTGTTCCTTCCCTGAAGCCAGGAAGAGAGAAGAAGTGCCTGCTGCGGTGCCTCTGTGTCAGGCAGAGGAATCGGTGGGGGCGGGAATCCAGCCTGCATGTCACCTGCCAGTCAGTGCCCTGGTGTTGGGCTTACCCAGACTGGAGAGTGCTGTTTGTGAGTCTTGTGCCCCTGAGACCACATCGTCTCAGACAGGTGCTTCATAAACTGAACAAAGACACTGCCTTAGTTTGGCTTTTCCAGGAAGCAGACCCAGAGATCAATATTGCAGCAAAGGTCTTTGGTCTTGAAGATGATCCCAAGAAGCACTAGTAGGAAGTAGGGGCATAAGACAGGGAAGTGTGGGGACCAGAATTGTCCAGGTGTGTATCAAGGTGGGTATAGTGGACAACCAGAGCCCAGGCTTGCTGGGGAGCTTTGGGCAACAGCAGAGAACATAGCCCTGAAATCATCCCAGTGCCTCACTGGCCATCACAAAGAGCTGCTTGCAGGGGCTGTTCCACTTGCCCTGCACATAGGCTATACTCTCAGGAAGGCAGACAGTCCTCCTGAGAGGTTACAGTTGTTCCTGCTGAGCTGCCCTGGGCAGGGTGTGGTCAGCGTCCAACTAAGCACCCTCTACATGAGCCTCACACTGTGTCTAGAACTTCTCTTCTGCCAGATCCAAGCAATCCAAACTATTGTCCCCCAACGCCATTCATCAACTGCAGTATAAATATACACACTCACCTGTGATGTTGTCCTCACGCAGTCTAAATAAGAATTGTTTCGGAGAAAAAAGGCCCATGACTGCTAAAACATCATCATGACATAAAGGCTCCCGAATTTATAATCAAGTCTGGGCTCTGTTCCTGGCTCTGATGTGCCCTTTCTTCATTTTCTGCCTCTTTCCCTTCCTCCCCTCCACATTCGGAAGCCAATAAGGAAATCCAGGTTTCCTGGCTTCCTGCCTTCCTGTTTTTATCCCACAGACCTCCGGAGGAGCTGGCAGGATCAGGAGTGACTGCACGAAGCTCAGGAGTGGGGCTCGCGGGGCGAGGGGGGTGGTCATCTTGAAGCTGTGTGTATCGTTTTCTCTGACATTGTTTATTTAATGGGGGTGGTGGCTAGTGGAAACTTGGAGGAGGTTCAACTCACCCTTGGCATCACCCCCAACAAAGCTGAATCCTTGCCTCTGCTGAGTCCCCAAACCTCAGAACATGCTGAGCCTCCCAACACTCTCCCTGAACCACCTGAGGCTGTGATTTTGCTTGTTTACAGGCTAAATCTCCAACGGCAGAAGAGCTAAAGCAGGAGTTTGGCAGAAGTGTAAATAGTTTTCATATCAGAAGCTCCCAAATGCAGAATTGTGCCTACTTTACTTTCTGTTTTCTCCAGCACAGTTGCTTTCATCCCCTGGAGGGTTTGGATCCTACTTTCTGATTCCCCTTGACAATTTTTGCCCAGCACAGACATAGCTCCTAAGGAGGGGACGACCCAACCCTGTTGCTTCATTTGGCACTGCCGATCTAATGAGGTGTAAATCCCATAGATGCCGCTTGGGGCAGCTGGCATAGTAATTTATATCAATTGGTGTGATTAGAGGAAGCCCTCAATCATCCTGCAGTGTCTCATTGCAATCTGTCATAGTCCTAATCAGACGCACTTCACCCTGGCTTTGTGCTGGGTTGAATATATGCTTTCCTGGGCCCTGCTCAAGAGCCCAAATATTAGAGAAAGGGACTCGAGGAGGTAGAATGTGACCCATGCTCACCCCCCAGGAATAAGGATGCTTCCTCCCCTTCACCCAGGAGGGCACTGGCCAAGAGCTCACAGATGTGGGCTCAAACCCAAACTCCTTGGGCAGAGTCCTGGCTCTGCCCCTGACAGGCTGGTTTCCTTAGGCAAGTGACTCCATCTCTGGTGTCTCAGTCTGTTCATCTGTAAGATGGGGTGGTAAGAATGCTACAGTCCTCATATCATTGTTGGAAGGATTAAATGAATATTTGCTTGGAAACATACCTGGCACAAGTAAGTAAATTCTCTTATATTTTTCTGTCCACTCCAGAAGGGCTATGAGAAGTCCTCCAATGAAGATACACAAAGAACAGAAAAATGAAGATATACAAAGACCAGTAAAATGAAGACTGAGGAACCAGTAAAGGGAAAGGGGTAAGAAGAGAGGATTGTCATATCTTGTATTAAGGAAGGCTCTTTGGGCTGCAAGGAACATTTATGCATCCAACGACTGTCTGCTGAGCTCTTCCCAGGTACCAGGCAGTGTGCTCATCATGGGTTTGCAGCAGTGACCTCATGGAGCTCACATTGGAGTATTACTTGTATGAAGTCCAAGAAAACAAGCAAATAAATAAGATTATTTCAGAGTGACAGAGACGTGAAGTAAGTAAACAGGATAGAGAGAAAGGGCCTGTGGGGTGGAGGGCAAATACATGTTGGGTGATCAGGAAAGGCCTCTCTGAGAAGGTGACAGGATAAGAAAGAACCAGCCACCTGATACTCTGGGACAAAAACTCTCCATACAGAGGGAGCAGCATGTACAAAGGCCCTGAGGTATGTGGGAGCTTGAAGAGTTTGAAGAATAGTAATAGGAAGACTGTTTTGGCTGGAACCAAATGAGGGAAGGAGAGCAGTTTGTATTGGTTGGATGATGCCAGATCCTGCGAGGTCTTATCCGGTATAATAAAGTGTTCAACTATTATTTTAAGAACTTTGGGCCCTTGAAGCAGAGAAATGGCAGTCTCCTTTACCATTTTAAAACATTTAGAAACCCAACTCAAGGAAGTTTTAACAAAAGGCGGGATTTCTTAAAAGACTGTGGGAGTGTGTCAGAGAAACTACAGGCAAAAATAAAGCTGGATTTGCATAGAGCTGGAGGTTCTTTACCCCCATGTTGGGTCTTCTCTGTGCTCTCTCTACCCCAGTCCACATGGAGCCAACAGCTCCTCTATTATATAAACTTGACTTCCACAATCCAGCATTTCAAGCGTAATGTATCTCTCAGTTCCAGCAGGCCTCATCTAAGGACTCAGGGGCTGGCTTGAGCCAGGAGTCCATTCCTGGACCCATCATCTTTGGCCAAAGTGGGTCAGGAACACATTTGACATCCTGGTTGCTTCTGAGTAAGGGTGGGGGAGGTCTGGGCAGGAGGAATAATTCTCCAAAAGGAAAGTGAGGATGTAGGGCAGAGTGAGCAAAGTGTCCAAGTTGCCAGAAAAAAGAAACCAAAGAATGTAGCAGGAAGCAAGCTCAGAATTTAACAGAGTTTCCTGGTAATCAAATCTCAAAAAGAAACGTGAGTGGGTTTCGGTTTCTCATCTGCTAATAAAACAAGGTGAAGCAGATTATTAGGAAAGAAAAGCTTTCCTCTACTAAAGTTAAGCAGACATTCTTGGGAGGTTTTCCTCCCAAGAGGAAGGGGAACTGAGAGATACGGTGGAGGATTCATCAGCAACTATTCAAATTTCTCAGATGATTTAGTTTTTCTGAATGTGTCGAGATTCCTTCCGGATGATTTCTGAAAGTAGAGGGGACATCACAGAGTTCCAGAGTGAGGTGGGCAGGATATATTGATGGGGAGCCAGCGTGATGTGTTTCTTTCTGATGACCTCATTGGTTCTTGGAGACTTCTGCACGAGGCTTGAAAACTCAAATGCTCTCATACCAGGGAGACACGTGTGACATGGGCTGGGTGCCCACACCAAGATTGGCGGCAGTTGGTGATTCAGCTCAGTCAGCAAAGAGACTGCAGGAAATTGCTGCTCCTCAGCTCCTGCCAAGTGTGGCCTCTTGGGCCTAATGATTTTCCAAGAGGAACCGGACATTCTGGATCCTAAACCTTGAATGTTGACAACTAACTGAAATCTGTTTGAAAACTTTCCATGAGCCAAGCAAAATGGGGATGAGGGGTGAAGGCAGTTACTGCCAGGGAGGGTTGGGGAGGAGTGCAGGATCTATGTCTGTCTTCCTGACCAGTGAGCTCGCCTCACACGAGCTTCCTGAACCATGGAGGGATCAGCCTGGCTTTTGGACAGAACTGGGCACAACAAGACCCCTGGGTGTGGAGACTCATGATCCTATGGAGAGAGACCACCCTCCTGCACTTGCCTTGTTCCAGGTGATGAGTGAAACAGACCCACTATTGCTCTCAAGGGGGTTGTATTCCAGTCAAGGAGCCAGACTTTCAACAATGAACTGTACAACAAGGTAGCTAACCAGAGTTGTGGAGGTACCAGGTGGAGGCCAACAGAAGGCTGCCTTAGGTGTTCATAGTGGGTGTGACCTAGTCCAGGGGGTTAGGAACGTTCCCTTGAGGCCATGACCTCAGCTGATAATGTGAGCATAGGAGAAGGGAAGCGGGAGTGCTGTCCTCCACACAAAGGAAGCTGCCTTAGAGCCCAGAGAGGGGAAGGAGGAGCCGATCTTAGGAGGGCAGCAGTACTGAATGGGGCTGGAGCTGGGGAAGTAGCTGATGTTGTCGGCCATGTTGAAAACTCAGAACTCTTACAAAGAATGATCCAAAACTTAGAAAGAGAGCTAAAAGGGACCATAGATTCTTTTGATGTCAGACTACAGCATAATTACCAAACCCACCCAAACAATGACTTAATTCTCTATGAGACTGTACCTTTGTTTGATTTTGCTCTTTACTGTTTCGGCCTGATCTCTATGAAGTTATATGTACATTGGTAGAGAGCTGTCTTTCTGCAGAGAAGCAAGTGCTTTCCATCTGGTAGAGAAGATGGCCCCTAAGGTTATCACTTTATCGTCCTGAAGGACTTAGTCAGTTTTGTTTCTAACTTAAAAAATGAACAAGTGGGGAATTCCCTGGCGGTCCAGTGGTTAGAACCCCACGCTTTCACTGTTGTGGGCCTGGGTTTGATCCCTGATTGGGGAACTAGGATCCCACAAGTCATGCAGTATGGCCAAAAAGAAGACAGTAAATAACAGTTAACTTCCTTACATCTTTTCTGAGGGACAGTTTAAACCCCTGTCATCAAATGCTTTTAGCTCTAGCATACCGCTGGTTCTCTCATTAATGAGTTAAATAAACATCCAACATGTTTTTATTCTATATCAATAAGAGTTGGGTTTTCAGAAATCACTATCTCAAAGATATATCTGCATCCCCATAGTCACTGAAGCATTATTCACAGCAGCCAAGACATAGAAACAACCCAGTATCTATGACGAATGAAAGGTTAAAGGAAACATGGTGTACATATAGACTACATAAATAGAATAGTATTCAGTCATAAGGGGCTTTCCTAGTGACTCATTGGTAAAGAATCCACCTGCCAATGCCGGAGATCTGAGTTCTATCCCTGGGGTGGGAAGATCCCCTGGAGGAGGAAATGGCAACCCATCCAGTTATTCTTGCCTGGGGAAATCCCATGGACAGAGGAGCCTGGTGGGCTATAGTCCATGGGGTCACAATGAGTCAGATATGACTTAGTGACTAAACAATAATTCAATCATAAAGGAGGAGAAATACTGCCCTTTGTGAGAGCATGGATGAACCTTGAGGGTATTATGCTAAGTAAAATAAGTCAGATATAGAAAAGACAAACACCATATGATCTCATCTGTTTGTGGAACCTAAAAAAAAAAAAACAAAGTACAAAAGATACAGGAGAGAGATTGGTGGTTGCTAGAGATGGTGTGTGGGGAGTGGGTAAAATGAATGTAGGGATCAAAAGATACAAACTTCCAGTTATAAAATAAATAAGTTTTAGAGAGGTAACGTCGGCATGGTGACTATAGTTGACAAATACTGTTGTATATTTGAAAGTCACTGATAGTAGATCTTAAACATCTCTTCACAAGAAAAAAAATTGTAGCTATGTGAAGTGACATATGTTAACTAAACTTAACTGTGGTGCTCATTTCATAATATATACACATATCAAATTATTATGTTATTATACACCTTAAAGTCATGTAATGTTATATGTCAATTATATCTCAGTATAACTGGGGGAAAAAAGAGATTGGTTTTATCTTCTTAATATGATTTCTTGACAGAACTTTCTCCTAAGCATGATGAGAAACTGTGGAAGGTTTTAAGCTGACAACTGCCATGATCAAATTTGCCAGCGGACCATTGTTAATGTTCTGAGCATAAGAAAACCAGGTTTCTACTTTACTCATCAAATGTGGGGCCTTCCATCTTGGGACAAATAGCCAGTTTGGTTGAGGACCAATCTGCTGTTGTTATCATCAAGTGTGGTTTATTATAGGGTCTTTGTATAAACATAGACTCTAATCATGGTAGTGTCCGTTTTGTTAAGATTGAAAGCAGTGGCTAATAATTTATTGTAACGGGATCTAAACTAATGAGCTCCACTTACAATGAAAATGTTTGAGAAAGCTCAATTTTCTCCTGGGTCTCCCCAGGAGGCCCAGCTCTGGCAGAAGTGGCATCATGCAGGCACCAGGCAGATTGCTCATCAACTATGTCAAGTGTCAGAAGATTGGGCCATCTCTTTAAAGTGCTTTTTTTAAAAAAGAGGGAGAGGGGAAAATACCAGCATCCATTTCCATAAATTATTGACTATGAGTTTAACATCATCTCGTTGGAGAAGTGCTGAAATTGCACGTGCTAATTGGTGAGTCACAGAAGCAGTAGTGGGACTACAGAAAGTAGAACAGTTGTTGTGCTGGAGCCCATGGTGGGCAAAGTGAGGGGCCCTGCAGGTAGGGGCAGCCACGCTAATCCAAATGGGTCTCAGCCAAGAAGGGCACCTGGAATTATCCTAGAACGTTACTCTGTTAGCTTCTTTAACCCTCAAAGCACTCTTGGGGACCCTTGTCACCTTTCCTCAGGTAGGAAACTAAGTCTCTGAGAGGTTGAGTGACCTCCCAGAGGTCACATGGCTAATAGGTGGCTGAGGTGACTTTTCAGCGTAGGTGTTTCGATTTTGGCGTGCCAATGTGCCTTCTTGTGAATCTCAAACATTCTTCACTTCAATTGTCATTCTCTCGGTGCTTATACTCCAGCAAAATCATTCCACCTGATATGGTAGAAAGAGCATGACCATCCCCAACCCCACGTGGTAGAATTAAGACTCAGCTTTAGGCAACTGATAGATTATCAAATTGGGAAACTATAATTCATCCCTCACCCCCTTCCTGCCTGAGTTCTTTCCTTCTTCTCATCAGTATGCATTCTTCAAGTTTTTGGTCAAACATCATTTATTCACTAAAACCCCTTGTGGCTATTTTACTTAAAATCACAAACTGTGAGCCCTGAATGCTCTTATCTGTCAACTTACTCTGTTTTCTTTCTTTTTTTTTTCCATAGTGCTTGTCATCTTCTCACATATCTATATAATACTATATATAACATATATAATTTATTTGTATTGTCTTTGTTACTTATTATGTCGTCCCGAAATAGAATTTAAATCTTGAGAAGACAAGAATCTTTGTTGTTTGCTAGTGTTTCATGTGCTATGAACAATGCCTGGAATATAGTAGATGCTTAAGAAATACTTGTTTCATGGATGGGTGAGTGAATGAATACCCATTATATGGCCTTTTTAGTTTAATGAAAACCAACAAGGAAAGCACCCCAAGCTTATTGTTCACATGCATATTCTCCGTGTTTGCAGTATTCTCTCCTTTAATTCTCATAACATTGCAACTGCTATTATCACCATTTTACAGATGAAGAAACTAAGCCCCAGAAAAGTAGAATAGATTGTCAAAGGTTATACTTTTAAAGCTACTTTACAAATGAATTTTGGTGAGGTATGAATTTCCAATGTATCCACATCCAATGTATTATTGGCAAGTGGATACATATAACTATCACCCAAGTGAGACATGGAACCTCTCTGTCACCCCCAACAATTCCCTTGTGCTACTTTGCAGACAATATCCTTCAGCCTCTGATAATCCCTAATTTGTTTTCTGTCCTTATACTTTTGCCTTTTCTAGAACATTTTACATAATGGCAACATATAGCAAGTACTCATTTATGCCCAACTCTCTGGCTCAGCATAATAATTGGAGGTTCTTCCATGTTGCTCTGTGTATCAACAGTTCATTCTTTTTCATTACTTGGAGGTGTCCTATTATAGGAGTAGAACATAATTTCTTTATCAGTTTGCCTGTTGGTAGACATTTGCATTGTTTCTGGATTGTGTCTGTTGGAGATAAAGACACTGTGAACATTCATGTACAAGTTTTGTATGTATATCTGTTGTTATTTCTCCTGGGTAGATGCCTAGGAGTGAACTTGCTGCATTGTATAACCATTCTGTGTTTAACTTTAGAAGAAATGTTCAAACCCCTTTTCAAAGCGTTTATACCATTTTGCATTCCCACCAGCAGCATACAAGAGTTCCAACTGTCTCACATTCTCTCCAACCTTTAGTGTGGTCAGTGTTTTTAACTTTCATCTTTGAAGTGAGTGCCAGCCCTACTTCCTCGAGGCTTAACTTTTCATTTCCCAAACATCTAGTGATATTGATCATTTTTCATGTGCTTATTGGCCAGTAATATATCCTCCTTGGTGAAGTATTTATTCATATATTTTGCTCATTTTTAATTGGATTGTTTGTCTTACTGTTACTGAGATTAAGTGATACTTTATGCATTTGTATATTTACACATTGTGCACACATTTACACAATATAATATGATCTGCCTCCACTCCCTAGTATGCGTCCTGTCTTTTCGTCTCCTTAATGGTGTCTCAGTCCCATTTTGGAACCATTGTTGATCCGAGGTTTGTCTGACGTTCATTCCTTCACACTTTCCCAAGTAAGGTCCATATTGAGGAATACGACCCTCAAGGAGTATGAAAATAATCATGAAAAATAACCAAAATACCCAGAGGAAAAACACAATCCCTGCCTGTGCTTGTTCGGTGAGTTCAGAAACAAATTACCCCAATGGGAAGCTGAGGAAAGTGGAGAGAGAGTTAATCACTATCCTAGACTCAGTGTTATTTTAATTAAGTATCATAAGAATAATGAAATTATGCACCTCTTAAGATTTATGGCTTACTATTTGTATGGCATGGAAAGAATTTCAGAAACAAATATAAATGATGGAATCTCAGAGTCTTTTCCCATCTTACTGGGTTATCATTCTTTAACCCCATGGGATGAGTGGGCTGTGGTTAGGTGGAAGCAGCGAACAAGGTGGGGTGGGTGGTCAGGAGACCTTGGTGTGTTTTCTGGAACAGGTGCTCTGCTCCATGACCCCAACCTTCTCACATGGGGAAGATTTGATGCAGTAGTATGCTGGTGAATGTTTAATACTTACTAAATGCTTCTCCAAAAAAAATTACACATGTGTGTATACGTGTGTGTGTGGGGGTATATATATACACCCTATGTATATATAAATATGTATATATGTATTTGCATATGTACCACGTGCTTATTATACAGTTTATTAATATTACTGATGTGTAGTATTTAATTGAAAATAATAAAACATAGATTACCCTATTATACGTTCCACAAAGTCAACTGATTTTCACAAAATGTTTTTGTTGATTTTTGCCCAACTCTCCTATCAGTATCCAACCAACAGTTGCAACGGACAAATGGTTGTAGTTCTGACATGAATATTGGTTGATATTTTTGTTTATGTTAAAGAGGAAAATGACAGTGAAACAACAAAGACATATGTCAGGATATTATGCATGCATCAATGGGATGAGTGACTTCTTTGTT